CCCTCTAAATACTGGGTATAGCCACTTTTTTGTAATTATCAACAGCTCAGGGGTGCCCAGTTTTAAGTGCTACAAGCTTGCTGGCAAAATAACCCATAATGAAAATCGACAACGCTTAGGATTTTTTCCATTGGTCCTATCAGAATCTAAACTGCAGGTAAGATCTTTAAAAAAACACCCCTAATTCCCATTTTCAGAAGTTCCTTGATGTCAGTTTTCTAAAGCTATCTATGGATAAATAATCCCCTTTCAAACTGCATCATGGGAGTGGAACCAGGGGATTTTTTTAAGTTCCCAAAGCAGGTAAGAACTCCCCACCTCTTGGCACTCCCTCCTTTCCCCTCCATGCTCAGCAGCATGTCTCCTCCTCGCCCCTTCCATTAACCCCCTCCCCCACCCACCACTTCTGCTGGCTGATCTGGGGGCAGGGAAAGCTGAAGAGCCCCTCCTGCCGTGCTCCAGCTGAACTGCATAGGGAGCTGGGCTCAGTCAGGCACAGTGGTTTTGGAGGCAGCAGGTGGGTTCCTCCTTCCAGCCCAGGTGTTCCTTTCCAAGTTCAGAAGCAGGCACAGGGAAGGGACCCCTTGTGCTGGCACCATGACAGCCACTGTTCCCAGCTGAGCCCAGCTCCTGCTGAGCATGGGGCAGATGAGAGGGGGTGCTGGGATGAGGGAGGGGGGTGTATTCTTACCTGATTCGGGGACTTAAACAATCCCCTGGCTGCTACTCCTGCAGCGTGTTCTGCCCACCCCAGTGACAGTGGAGAGTTAAGAGCGGGGGATGCAGCCACTCCGTCAATGCTGGTCGCTGCCCCCACACCTCCCTTTACAAAATCCTGGATCCACCCACGAAACCATCTGAATGAGCTTCATCCTATGGGATGCCAATGGGATTTAAGTACTTGAGTCACAGTGGCAAAAACTGGAAAAGGAACTCTGTTTAAAATGGGACTTATGGACCTCATTCATATCAGTGCCACTTTGCTTCAGGAAATGCTGTTTTACTGGCCTGGTATGACAGATTTTGTCCTGTTATATTCCTAGTACTTTTTCATAAAGAAGTCATTTTTTTAAAGTAGCTGATGCATTTTCATTCAGTTCTTGGCTCTTTGCTTAGAAGTGCAGTAAAGTGCTCACCTTTTCTATTTGTAGATTCAAGATCAAGAATACCATTACCAGGCACCATCTAAACCAAACCAACGTTTTTAGTTTATCCTGCATAAGTAATTTCCCTCCTACCCTCAATGGCTCATTTTATGATTTTGGGGATAGAAGAGGTGAAGCAACCTCTGGTACAAAGGAATTTTTTAAATCGTTGGCATAATTTAGAAATTAGTCACAGATTAGTTGATAGTTTTCTAAGGGAAAGGAAAAATTAGCTCAGCTGAGCATAATTTTTTTACTATTGATTACAATAAGATCTGCTTTGTGGGAACTAAAGCAGATTATAGTCACATATTTCTTTCAAAGCAGGTGGTATGAGCTTGTGGCTTGCAACCAAGAAATGGTAAGCTTTGGTTCTGTTCCAACATTCTGCCACTGACTTGCCAGAAGGCCCCAGAGCAAGTCACATAATCCCACATTTTGACTGACTGAGAACTTAATTTGAATACCCTAGGGCCTGATAGCAAGACATGCTATATGACAATATCAGCCAAAATCAACTGAGATGGCTACAGAAATGTGATTTTAATCACTAGATGTCATCCCCCCACTTAACTGTCACAATGCACTTGTTCCAACAGCAATACTTTACAGCATACTGGTCAAGTGAACTGGACAAGTGTGCATTTGGAAAATGCTGCATCTACAGCAGGAAAGAATGTTTTCTAGATGTGCCTGTATGGAATTTAGTAATCAATGACTTAATGCTCAAAGCTGTGTTTCAATACCAAAGCAAACCATACTGAAATATACTTAATTACAACCATGATAGAAGCAAAATAATATCACTGCCTGCAGCACTGCCAAAGCAAACGTTATGTAAAGGTCAGCTGGAAAGAATGTCAGGATCTGAGTTAATTAGAACCACACCAGCAATGCTAGCGTATTGCCGAAGCAGGTGTGCTTACTGCAAAAGAGGCAAGTCTCAGTTTCTCAGCTGCAAAACAACAAAAACGACAATATTATTCTTCTCCTGCCCTTTCAACCTGCTTTGGGGTGGCATCTTCAAGTTATCACTCTGTACTGCTGCACAGGATGTGAAGTTCTGTATGAGTCATTTTGAGAGGTAGGTGGCAAGTGCAATACAGAATTAGAGTCATTCTGTCTTGCCATCCAACTGCCTTTTGGATTGGTACACAGAAAAAATTAGATGTGGTGATGGGGTGCAACGGACATCACAGCCTTTCTGTTGTTCATTTCAAAAGTTTCTGCTTGCGTCTCATTTGCACACATGCCCTCCCACATCTCCTCTATGAACTGAATACCTAATCCTTACAAAGTCATCAGCTGCAAAGTATGGGGAACACAAGCTAGTTAGGGGAATTCACACAACACTCTGAGAAACACTGGCTGAAGAGTACATTTGCATAGAAACCACACACAATCATGCATATAGCACTGAGTGACCAAGGCAAAAATACTTTGAAGCAGACACTTCTGTCCTTAAATTAATAAAACTTCTCAGCTGCCCAACATTTAAGCTTCTCTTTACTTAACAGTTACTTCAACCTCCATACTACATTTATAAATATGAGGAGGATGGCACAGGAATGGCATATAGGAGATCTGCATTGCCTTCCTGCTGCCACTGATTCTCAGTGAGAGTCTCCCCTATTTTCACCCACTGAATCCCATTGTGGGCATATTAATTTATTTTATTCAACTTTCTCCATGGATGTGTGTGATCTGAGGAGCACTGGATTAATCAGGTTCCCATATCTTCATTCTCCTGCCTTCCCACCCATATTTTTCCTGAAAAGAAAACACATTTGGTAATAAAATGGATGTTCCAAGACTGTTTATAAGAAACAGTCATCCAACATTAGCCCTGGAGCCTTTATCTCATAAAGTTATTAGACAAAAAGAAAATTATATGAGAGCAAGGCATTTAAATGCTTAGAGAAACCTCTCCACTGTCATTGTTAATTATAAGTAACTACTACACATTGAAAGACATGCATTATATTTAAATGCTTTATTCATGTACGTTTTTTATTTTATGTTTAAGTAGTCATGCTTTCCACCAGGGAGATATAATGTGTCTGCTCCATATAACACAAACCAGGATGCTTGATGTATTATGAAGATTTTGCTGAGCAGTCATTTAAGGCAGTGGGGGCCAATCCTTTTGGCAGGTGTGCCCTGCACCCTCCCCAAGTGCCACCGTGATCCTTTTCCCTTGCCTGAACTGCTGGTTGGCCTTCGGCTCTTTGCCCTGTGCTTCCTGACCAAACTTCTTCTCTGCTTTCTGCTCCCTGCCCAGTGCTTCCTGCCTGATCTGTAGGGGCGTGCGAAACGGACCGTATTCGATTTGGATTCAGCCCGAATCAGGGACAGTGATTCAATTAGTTGATTCAGATCACTGTCCCCGATTCAATTCGGCCAAATCCAAATCTGAAGATTCAATGCTGATTCGGAGAATCAGCAATTCGGCCATAGACACAGCTTTAAATGTTTTTTTCTACAGACCTCAAGGTACCAGGCATGGCTTGTGAATGCTGCGATGCTGGGGCGGAAGAAGCGTCTCACAGGAGTGCAGGGGGCCCCCCCACGTGCTTGGCAGTGAACCTGAAAGTGGACCAGAAGTATTTCCGGTCCAATTCTGGGTCTGCCAGGGAGCGCAATTGGCCGCTGGAGGACCCCAGGTGCCCCCCCAGACCTAGGAGGCACCAGTCACTGAGCCGGGGTGGCGCAGGGGCCCCCCCCCGGTGCGCTCCCCGGCAGACCCGAAATGCTTCTAGTCCACTTCTGGGTCTGTTGCTGAGCGCACTGGGCAGCCCTCTGCGCTCCTGTGGGACGCTCCATCCACCCCAGCAACACAGCATTGACGAGCCACCCGCTCGCTACCTTGAGGTATGTAGAAAAAACATTTAAAGCTGTGTCTATGTCCGAATTGCTGAATCTTTCTGAATTGATTCAGAGAGATTAAAGGGTCTCCCGATTTGATTTGGAGATTTGGCCACCAAATTGGGTCAAATCTCCGCCAAATCAAATCAGGGACTGAAGCTTTGCACAGCCCTACTGATCTGAATGTTTTGCTTTCTGCTATCTGTCCCCTCCCCAGTCTGCCATGTGCCACACACACAGGCTGCCTGGGACACTTATGGCACCCTTGCCCAGTGCTGTAGCAAGGTGAAGGGAGGGCGAGCAGGGCATCTGCCCTAGGCGCTGAAGCGAAGGGGCACTAACAGGCGCTGCCCAGCTGGGCGGGGAACAGGACGAAGCTGCAACCGGCTTGTTTGGCGGAGATGCAGGGATGGGGGACAGGTGGCTCCTGCCATTGTGTGCACTACCGGGCAAGCATGGGGGGGGGGCGCATGTTCTTCCCAGATCTGTGTGAGGGACAAGGGTGGGCTGCTTCTGCAGGCTTTGCCTTGGGTGCCAAACTTTGTTGCTACAGCACTGCCCTTGCCGCAGGTGGCTGTCCCTGGTTTAGAGGCAGATATGAATGTTATCTATGCACAAATAATCCCCAGTAAAAACATTTAGCACCAACCCACCCAAATAAGTCAAGATTTTTTTTTTGTTCATTTTGGAATGCTGCGGATTGGGATGGATGTGCAGCAGCAAGGCCAAGAGCTGTGACTGTGTCTCTGATTAACTGTTATGTGTAGCCACAAGAAGGCTGACAGCATATAAAAGCGCATCAGTTACAAGAGATGTCATGGATACTATGATATTTAAAACAATAGTATAGCTGGATCATGGATTAGGAAGCTAAGAATATTTTCTAAAGGCCTTTATATTGCCCTGTTCTTAAATATCACTCCCTCTAAGGGGTAGAGGGAGGAGAAAAGTAATTGCCTTTGTATAGTCTTGATTTTTTTAACATCTCACCTTTTTCCGATTAGCTGGTGATAAGCTTCTGTACAGCTTCTTGCCTTGTTTGCCCGCGTTCCAAATGGTGAAAGACGTCCAGTGCTTTAGGACTTGGTCTTCCAGAAATCTGACTCGATGATTCCAGATGGTTCCCCTGGGGAATCAGAAAAGAAGTGCGTTTGATCTCAAAATACATTAACAACATAAGAAATCTCACTTTCCAAACAGATACATTTCTGATGCAAAAACCACACTGAAACATCAGACTAGCAACAATTCCAGTGGACATGAATGCTGTAACTGGAAAAAAGATGGTCTCCTGTTTAAACATTAAACTTGCTGTCTTTGCTGCTGTGATCTTTTATTTATACTCAGACATGGACAATGTATAGGGGAAATCTCAAGTTGCTGGAGAAGTACCATCAATGCTGCCTGTGGAAGATCCTTCAAATCCAGTGGGAAGGCAGATGCACCATTAGTGTCCTCTTGGAAGAAAACACTGTGAGCACGGAGGTGATGATCATCCGACATCAACTTTGCTGCACCAGCCAAGTCATCTGGATGTTCGACTCCAGATTCCCAAAGCAAGTTTTATTCTCCCAGCTCAGTCAAGGTGTATGCTCAAGAGGAGGGCAGAGAAAGCACTTCAAGGACGTCCTCAAGGTTAATGTGAAAGAAATGCACAATTGACATCAACTCGTGGGAGACTATTACCTAGGACTACCCCAAATGGCGGAAGAGTCTGCTGCAAGGATCTCAGTACTCTGAAACCTTACGAAGACAGCGGGAGACAGAAAAGCAGGAGGAGCAAAAACAGCTTGTCATGGACTGAATTAAGAGCCCAGAGCCACCCACCCCGCATGGAAACATGTGCCCAAGTTCCAACAATCTGTTGATCCTGGATAGGCCTCCTTAGCTATCTTCGAATCCACAGTTAAGACTTCACAGACGACAATCATCCTTGACTGTGAGGGACTGCCAGTGATAATATTGAGCTCAGTTCTGTTTCAATGTACCCTGCAAGATGTTGAGCAAGTTAAAGACATGTGATGGACTTCTTCTAAAACATATATATTGATGGGGCACTGTAGAGATACAATATTGTCAAATCTTGTACAATGATAAAAAATTAAAAAATGCCCAAGTGATTTATGATTCTAAGACCCATGCTCAAAAGTGACCTATGCATTGAAGAGCTTAAGTCCCAAAACGGTTTAGGCTCCTCAATCATTCAGGCACTTATGAAAAAAATTACCACTATGCACTTTTAAGCAATATAGGAACCCAAGTGCCATTGATGAAGCTTAGTTTTCTCAGTCTATGTTCCAGCTGTGCTACTGCCTTTTACTTTATTAAGTATCATGGTATCCATCTCTTCCACAACTGGCACACTGCCTGCTACAGGCTACACATAAAATTACATTTGACTTAGACTCCTAAGTCACCTTTGGAAATGGGACTTAAATGCCTTTGTAAATGTAATCCTAAATCATTTATAACATTCTCAAGTAGATCTGAGTAATTCACTGTACTAACTTTCCATTGTATGGTTACATTTGAGGGTGAGGTTTGTAGAGGATAAATTGCTAGAGAGCACAAGGAAGTCAGAAGATGGTGACTCATTTTACAAGAGCCAGTGGTTGAATATACAGGTGTGTGTGCGCGCATGCATGCTGTGCGTGTGTGTGCGCATGCATGCTGTGCGTGTGTGCGCATATGGATAAACAACCACACCTCTCTACGTGGCACATCTGATTAGTTTAGATTACCATGATCACTAACTTCTCAAATCATGGCCTTTTTTGGTGCTGAGTATGAAATAGGTCTACTTAAAAGATACTGCAAACTAGTCAAAGAAATGTCTTCCCTTCCTCCTAACAAACTAATTCAGAGAGCAGTGTGTCAGAGCAAGGGTGCTAAAATGACTCGGGTCCAAAAGTCCCTGAAATAGGTCCAAATACATCCAGCAGTTGAACCTGCTACCACTAAATGTTACAGTTTTAGGAAGACAAGGTTCTTTGGGTGAATCTCATATCTTTTATTAGACTAACTTAAATAGCTGGAAAAAAATTTCTTAGCAAACTTTCAGGTTTAAAAACCCTTCGTCAGGCTGAGGAAGCATCTGCAGTTGGTAAACTCTAAAACATTCTAGTTGAAATCATGACATGATGGATGTCAAGTGTTCCAGGTTATGTTTTGGTTTTTCAGCTATCTGTAATTTCTTTCCATGATACTAGCATATAAAACCACTTTTAGCTTTGGCTATATCCTATTATTTGTCTAAAGCCTAAGAATCTCAACCCTGCTTTGCAAGATGTTGTGTCTGTCAGCAGTGCTAAAATACAGCAGAACTAATTGCATTGTATAAATATACCATCATTGTAAGTATAAAGTTCCCACAAGTTAACACCCTGGACACATTTTAGGGCTTCTAATGGATTTATATCTTAGGGATTTAGATATTTTCACCTTAATAAGTGCAAAAGCATCACACAGCCTAGAACGAAGGGAGCAGGGAGCTTTTAGCAACTGTGCTCTGTTCTTTACTTGAAAAGTTGTGCTTAGGCTTGTCATTCACAGAGGTTAAAATGTTACTCTTTTAAAGCAAGTAAGTGAGGCCACAGGAAGGATTTCTGTCCATGTGTGTGCATGTGAGACAGAGAGAGGGAGTTTGTATCACAGGATTCAGGAGCAATGCTACAACAACAATCCAGTACCGATCCCAAGCCTAAGCAAGCCTGCAATGATCAACAGTCGATCAAGTTCAAAAGTCCTGAATAACCCTATAACAACGCAGGCTTGAGCAGCCCAAAACTCATGACTGCCCCATGTATGTGATTCTGAATATGCAGGTGCATGTTCAGACCAAACAACGCAAAGGCAATTGATGAATTTACTTAATTTTCAAGCTTATATGTTCCCTTTCTTATTAAGAATTGTGCATCCCCACTTCCCCAAATAAAGTAGGTGATGTACTCTTTTTCTGAGGGAAACAGCAGACAAAGAACAGTGGAAGAAGTCACTGGAAAAATAATCCTTTAAATAGAGTGTAAGCTTAACAAAATGTCTAAAAAGTATGCTTTAAAATAAAGCAAGCTGACAGATGTCTGTGTGTCCAAGTGGATTTTTATGCCTGAAATAAATTCCACAATGTAATTTATACAAATCTAACACTGTAAACAAATGTAAGAGTGATACCAAATGTTGAGTCCGCACAACTGTGGGACCATAATCATGAAACATCTGTAAATGCTGCAGCTTGGTTGGGATTATCAATTTCAGAAAGTTCAAAGTGTATTCTCACAGAGAGGAGATGCATTCAAGGCAGGCATTTGGTCTTGAGTCCTTCATTGCAACTGCTCGGTGTTTTCAACAATCTTCTCACCCTCCCCATTTCTGCTCGTTTCCTAATGTCTTCAATCACTTATTTTTTTAAAATATCTGTTTCCACTGTATAATGTAATATTGAATAATGTATCAGTATAATTGCTTAAAGAAATTTGATTTTAGCTGAAAATGTTGGTTTATGTTCAGGATACTTCTAGTATTCAAAATAGGATTCCACTTCACATTAAAATAACTAGTTTACTAAGCACAAAAAAAATGAATTCCCATGAATGTATGACGTAAGTGCAAGGGAGTGTTGAAAACTGGCTTATGAAATGCAAACTTATTTCATGCTTGTAACTTTTTTTTTTTAATCTTGGTCTCTACCCAGGGCTGGACACGGGCATGGGCAAACCAGGTGACTGCCCAGGGCCCGAACAAAAAGGATGCCTAAAAATGGTAATTCAAAAATTATTCTTCTCATTATCTCCGGTGAAGGGGGCCCAATACTAAAAGTTTGCCAGGGCCACCATGACTCCAGGTACGGTGCTGTCTCTACCTGTAAAATGACCTCATCCAAAGACCACAACAGAAAGACTATCATTGACTACAGTAGGCTCTGTATTAGGTGTTCAGCTGAAATTCCCCAAAATATCAATGACGGCAACATTCATAACCATCTCTATGTTCATACAAAGCAGCCATTTCAAGCATTTTACAAGATGTAGGAAGGCAGTTTGGTTACAACAGCTGAGCCTTTAGCTCAGATCTGATCAACCTGACAACAAAATGAATTCCTCCCAGAAGTGGAGGGAAGCCGCAGACGTTGTAATCCCATAGTTCAATCAATCCCCCTAACCCCATTGTGCAGTTTGATGCATGACATTTGGAAATTCCTCAACAGTATCCTGATCCCAGTACCAGCAACTGGTACTATGAAATAGGTGCTTCAGTAATCCCACAATGCATTGCTATTGCTACACGCTGAGTTGTACAGCCTGCTCTGTTCCAAAATCATTCTGTAACACACACTTTGCTCTGTGTATTACCTAATGAATCCACTAACATTTTACATAACGAATGGCCTCCTCTGCTAGCATAGGAACACACTTAGTGGTAAAAGTTGGCAAACTCTTTTAAGGTTCAAACCCCTGCTGATAATGAAAAAACTCCTACTGAACTGGGAGTTTTGCCTGAGTGAAGACTGCATTTAGGACCATTATGGTGAGACTGACAGTACTGGCTAGAACCAGGAAAGGGATGGACAAGCCCACCACAGAGAGCAATGAATTTTGTTAAGGAACAGACAGAAGGCAGGGTAGGGATGCTCCTTATACGGTTAAGGAACAGGAAGAGCTATTTCAGAGCTGGACCCATCATCACCAGAGACTGCTGACTCTACTCAGTTATCTGGTGCTTTTATCATGTGGACAAATGGGGACAGGGATGAGACCAACCCATTGTTTTATACTTGGAGGGAGGGTAAGTGATTTCCCCCCCCGCATTTTTCACCTCAATCAGCATTTGTGTTAAGATCTCCAGAAACAAACGGCTGCTCGCTTACCACTGTGCAATGGACTCTCTGACCTACATCTTTTAGGTTAGACAATCCAGTCTCCTTAGCTGTAACTGCTATGGGGCGCTCACTTTTTCCATCACCGCAGAAAGAAAGTCCTGAGACAGGCCTGCATATTAGGCTTTAGGAGACAGGATGCCATACAGCTTGGGTTTAATCTCTTAGATTCTTAAAATTTTAAACTGATTTAAAAAAGGTAAAACAAATCATTTGACTGGCATATACTGCAGCATTAAGCTCATGAATTGAAA